TCTCCATGGAGCAGATCATTCTTCATTTAGCGTTAGTGTGACGTTAAAGACTGGGATCTAAACAAACTCATTCTTACCTCTATTGACAGCAAGATTGATCTCACAACTGTCCATTTTCTAATAAAGGCCTTTGGAAATACTTTTATTGACAAATCCTTGTAGTCAGAATCAATGCACTTGCTCGCACAAATGTTGGCTTGAATGTGGAGCTGGATGCTTGAAAAAAAAACTGTAATTGTGTTTACAGTGTGAAAAAAAATGCTTGTAGGGGAAGAAGAAATTGTTAAAAGTGTGTGTGTGTTGGGGGGGGTACATGGTATAGTTTATATACAGAGCAATAAACCTATACCATTGTTGCCCCAAAATCTGGCCGATGCATTTGATCGCAGAGGAGTGAGCACGGTGTGAGTTAATATTATCTGGCACCTCTAAACTGTCAGTTTTCTGAAAGTGGCACTGCTAAAATTGTGAAAAGCTGAAAGATTTTCTTCATGCACTTTCAGGAGCTGTGGAAAAAGCAAAAAAGTGCTTTGAAGGTGATGCCAGCTTACAGAGATCCTGCTCAGCCTCACATGCTTCTTTTGTGTACTTTAAGTTTGTGCTAGTGCACTGAAAACCTACCCCAGTGGACACACATCCCAAGACAAATTTGTCATTCTCAACATTAAGTGCAAACCCAATATCATCTGCATTGGTTTCCACGACAACAGGGGATAATGATATACAGCTGAGACCCGGACTGACCAGTGCTGGCAATTTGTAATGTAAAACTGTAGCATTGTCAGTCTGCAATCAAACCTTTCTTAGCTACTGTGATGAGTCTTCTGATGAAGCTTAATCACTGACTTCTTTTTTCAACAGACACTCCTCTGACTCACTCCTGCAGAGCCCAGTGCCGAGCTGGTGAAAAAGCTTCTAGTGTTTTTGCACCTAAGACATGAACTAGACAGCCTACTCATGATGATAGATCTGTTCCAGCACCATGTTCATTTTAACATTTACTGAAAACCTTCCCTTTCAGTGCAGATTTCACAAAAAAAGTAATTTCAGCCATAAAAGTTGTGGGGTGATCGTGTTGCAGTGGATTCACTTCTGGAAGCTCATAACCTGTCCATCTTTTTTACTGTTGGTGCTTTGAACTAAATGCTGGCAGGTGTAATGTTTAATGTTTGAGTTCTGCATGTTGGCGTGCTAACATTCGCTAACACTATAAAACCAGCTGCAGCTAATGAGAATGTCATTAGTTTAGTAAAAATAGACCTGATGGTGGCATTACAAAGGTCTGTGAGTATCAATGAATTTATCGTCTTGGAACCATGAACAGTTATAATGAATAAAACAGAAGTATAGAAGGATGCTTTTTAGCCACACGCTGTTTCTTCGTGTTAAAAGGGTGTAGTTGGAGACAAACAGCCGATGAGTCTTGTCACATCTGGATTCATTAGGAGAGTCTTGATCAGTGTTTTTTGAATAACTTGTTGCTGGCAAACAGAGACTGTAGTTAAGTTGAATTCCACAAAAACAGGTCTGAGGTTTAGGAGCACAGAAGAAATATTTTTGATAACATTAGCCTCAAGCCGACTTTTAATAATTCACTGCATTTCTGTGTCGACTAAATGTCACGCTACTCCTTGTGTTCTGGGTGGAAATCAATCCTGTGTTTTGCCATTCTTTCAAAGTGATCTGTCTGTGGTTGCCATGGAAACATTCACATGAAACAATACCCAGAGGTACTCCTGAATGGTAATGGGCCTTACACTGAGACCAGAATCCATCATTGTCCAAACAAAGCTGTTTGCATCAGCCTGTGTTAATCAGGGTGGTCCTGTTACATAAGGAACCTGTGGGAAGATTTTATGTCAACTGAAATTAGCCTGGTAACTTTGCATTTTGTTGTTAACTGTCAGGTGCAGTAGCCTACATATATTTATGCTGAGGACAAGATATAAAAATGTCATGTTACCAGTGTTAACAGCGTTTCTGAGCTTGAGCAGGTACTGTATGTGAATTTCAGAGTTGTGATTGTCAAATATTGTAGGACCAAAAGCCTGCAAATCATACACTCACTGGCCACTTTATGAGGCAGTGTTGTACTGGACTATGTTATATTTAAAGGTGTTTCTATATTGTCCTCCCCAGCTACATACATGAGATGGTCAGAATATTAGGAACACCAATGAATATAACGTAGTCCAGTACAACACCTCCTTTAACTATGACCTCAATAATAATTATTGTCAGATTTGACGTGTAAGAACGCCAAATGGTGTTTGTGGTGGACTCAATTATAAAACCAGACGAACTGATTTAGCTGAAAGTTTTTTACTCGTAACAACTAGACAATCAATACACAGTCCGGGATACACAATCAGGTCGATAAGACAGTCCAGGGTCAGCGCCGGTAGACAGGTATAGCCAGGAGATCCAAACTCGAGTGGTCAAAGGGAATAACTCAGAAGGTCGGTACACTGCAGGCAATCAGAAACTGGAAGGGCATATGCAAAACATGGTGGTCAAAAACAGTAATCCAAGGTCAGAAACAGAGAATCAGGCAAGGTATAAATGCTGGCGAGTCAGAGCTGGGATCTAGAACAATCTGGCAGCGTCCTTGTGGGAGGATGCTGCCTAAATAGAGGTGTAAACAGGTGCAAACAACAACGAAGCAGGTGAAACTAATGTGAGTGATGAAGAACGTAAAAAGACCGAGACTAAGGTGAAACAAAAACACGTCAAAATAAAAGCCTGACAGGAAGCAACGGAACCGAATCGTGACAAATTATATCATTGGATTTATACATTTATGACAATTCCACCAAAAACATTTTGAGCTTCATAAACACAGATGTTAAGGTGGTTGTGTTGCATTGAATTGCATACAATTGTACACATGTACCTAATAAAGTGGCCGGTGAATGTAGTATTGATAAGGTCATGGATGGAAAAATCATGTTTTTGATTTCCACAGGTGGTTGCTCAGTGTGAACATGATGTTCCATCCTGCATTTTGTCTCACCCAGTGTCATGCTGTTTATTGATGGACAATAGCTGACAGCAGTGCAGACAAGCTGTCAGAGCTTGTGTCTGGAACAGGAGGAGACAGAAATGTGTCAGACTGAAGGTTGTGAGGTTGCATCAGATTTCAGGATCTTGAGCCAGCTCAGTCACTGCAGGGGAGAGCAGCCCACGCAGGACCCTGTTGATGTGGCAAAGCATTTTCTACTTACACTGGAGCATACTGCAAAAAGAGATGAGGCCCAACAGCTTGAATGACTCATCTAAGTTTAAAACTGAGTCAGTGAGTGGATAAATTAGATCAGTCCTTCACTGAACAACTAGTGCTCAGCACCAAG